TGTTGTTGTTGTTGTTGTTAGGGGGCGACGCTCTTTGAAAAAACCCTAAGGCTCCGTCATTACTTGTCTGATCGGAATGAAATTTGACACAATTATTCTAAGGAATATTCCGCATCAATTGACGGTGTTCGATTTTTCATTTTTGACTTTAGAAGCAAGATACGAGCAATTTTTGACTGTATTTGTAGCAAATAATATATACATATCATTAATATTCAGCAAATATATCAGCAAACGCAAACGATAAGAAAGACATTGTCTTGTCTATTGTTGTGAACACAATCACAATACAGGGTGTCTCAAAAAAACCCAAAATCATTGAAATAACGTATTGTTCGAATTTCAATGCCGTAACACAAAGGATTTTGACAGGGTGATTAATTTGTTTTAAAAAATTAAAATATCTTTGTAAAGTGAACGTTTGTTTGCTCATGGGAATTTAAAATGCTTCGTAAATTGTAATATGCGTAATATGCATTCGTGGGTTTAGTACTTTATGCCTGACATAACAAGTTTACGCTGAGTATTACCATTCATTATAACAGTTATGTCAATCTTTTATGCACTCGTGGGATTAACTTAGTGCTAGGGCATTGAATATCGAACAATACGTCAATTTCAATGATTTTGGGTTTTTTTGAGACACCCTGTAGTCTAAAGCTTCTCAAGAATGTGAACGACTAATTATAACAATTAATTATAAGCGTTAAGTTGACTAAATTTAACACGCTGGCTTAGTTTCTCAAAGCGTAGTGGAGTAATATTGTGATCTGGCTGTCATAATATTCATAGTCCGATAGAAAATCGTGAACCGTAAAAACAAAGACATGAAAATTTGTTTTTAGCACAAGCATGCAGTTATGAAGCCATGACTAAGCGAGATGAAATTGCATTAACCTGGGAACAATTCAGATAATTTGTTACCTTAACTTATTTTGTAATTAATGGCAGGCACGGCAAGGCAAAATTTGATGTACGGCAAAAGTTAGCTGACTTAAGCACGGCATGTTTATTCTAAATATTGTGGGACATTTAACTTATCTATCGAATTCAAATGCGAGGAAATACTTTTGAAAACTGCGCATTTAGTTATCTATGCTTTGTCCAGATTTACACCTCATTTAGACTATATACACACGGCACTAGACACATTTTGCCCGGATAAAGTGTATCTTGCATGACCAAATTAAAGCAAAACATTTAGCGAACTTAGTCTACGTTGCAAACTTCGAGAACATTAGTTTCACAAGTGTCTAGTTATTTGTTTATCAAGTCAAAATCTCTAAGGTTTTGAACGTTTAACGATTTGCACAAGATCGAAACTGGGTCACGCAGTTCCTGGTCCACTATAGTACGATCGTACTTGTTCTGACAGGTGGCAACAGATTTCCCTTTCTACCGGAAATGCACTTCGAAGTTCGTGCGTTATTTACAGGATAGGAATTTATAACTATTTTTAAGCAATATTCGCTTAATTTTTAACCAGTTGTAGTAAAATTAATGCTAAATCAGGCAATATACATCCGTTTACTGATTTTATTTCGCTCCCTTTAGCATGGTGCAGCAAATAAAATTGTTCAAAATTAATGTCGAAGTTTGCCGACCCATAATAGCCACATGCATGTAATCGAGTATATATCTATACAGTAAATTTTTAACAAATATTGACGCCCAGAAAAATTATAATTGAGAAGCAAGTGCCCTTTTGAAATGGCTGCCCCCGCCGCTTTACATTGCTTCCGGCGCCCCTGACGATATCAGACTTGTTGGAACAACTTGCTGCGAGTCTGCTGGCCTCTTCAACCTTGTTCCAAGATAATAACAACTTGTTCCAGACTTTATACTGGGGCGCTTTCCATTTAATGGTCAGACCAGAATTTCTCTCTGTATTAATGGAGGGTCTGATTCAGGCTTCTCGAAAATCTAGCGAAAATGGATATCCTTCAAAATTGATCCAAATTTCCCGATTAGATTGGCCTCCGAAGTCCAAATGTATTGTGTTCCATTCAACAATTTGACCGTTCTCACCGGTCTCGCCGTGCTAATGGAAAGCACCCCAGGATAGCTCCATCAGTTCGTAACTGTTCTCCCTTGAGATCCAGTAAAATTCTTCTTATCATCCAGCTTCTAGTCTTTGTTATATGTTATGATTCAACTACAATTTTACCCCTACTCAGAACGCATCCTGTATGAAGTCCAAACTCCGAACAGGCCCCGTTTATACGAGACCAGGACGAGGTCAAACCGGGATGATTTAATTTCGGTCATAGTATTATTTCTAATATAGATGCTTCTAATATATGTATTTCTAATACGCGAGACTGAGACGAAAAATTGTTCAGACCGCGGTCTGAAGTCATCCCTTCGCTGGACCAAACTGACTAATAATAATAATAATAATAATAATAAAACTTTATTTAATGAGGGATTACATTGATTACTTAATATAGTATTCTTCCCAATGGCCCTCGATATCTAATAGTAATATATAAAAAGAAAATCCTATTGAGAGTAACATTGACAATGAGTAATATGCTTACAATCGATGCAGCGGAATTTATTAACGTGATCTACTTCATAATTCAATTGAATAAAGTAGGTTTTGAGCTTCTTTTTATAAGAATAAATTGAGCGATTTTCAATATGTTTTAATTCGGAAGGTAGAGAATTAAATAAACTAGCACCACTGAAGGAAATTTTGGATTTTGCTTGCGTAGTCTTAACTGATGGAACTTTTAAGTCTGTAATAGACGATCTAGTTGGAATTGGATGAGAGTCGCGAACAAAGACAAACAATTTACGAAGATCCGGCGGCCAAGATGTTTTTAAAGTATTGAATACCAATAATATTTTTCTCATTTTGATCAAATTAAAAATAGGTAGCTATCCAGTTGAGTTTACGGAAAAGCACAATTGAAGGCACTTCAGTTGACTGCTCAAGAACCAGTCTGAAATTCGGAGCGGGATGAATGTAAACACAAATACATTTCAGACCGGTCTTTGCTGTGCTCTTAGCTTTGGAATTCTCACAAAAGCACTGTAAAAAAAAAGAAAATGGGCAAGGGGAAGAAATTGAAAAATTGATTTTCGTACCGGTCTCATGTGAACTTATGGTGCTTCGGTGGCGCAGTCTTCAGAGCAAGCGTCTTTCACCTCTGAGTTCGTGGGTTGGATTCTCGCTACGGACTCATGTGAAAAGAGTGAGTCAACGCTCTGCCGAAAGTCGTGGGTTTTCTCCTGGTGCTCTGGTTTTCTACCACAGGGAAAGTTGACAGGCTGGTTAGGATAAACACAGTTAGGAACGTAATATATGTAAAGATAATTCAATTATCTATCAATTGTTGTGAAGATAATTAGTCTACACGGCTAAAAACGCACAGGTTGTTCCAAGTTGATATCGACAGGCGTGAACAATGTTGTGCGGCCAACTATGAACAAGTTGTCAACCATGTTGTTCCAAGTTGTTACAGTTGAACAATGCTGTAACAACATGTTGACAATACTGTTCATAGTGGGTCGCACAACCTGTTCACGCCTGTCGATATCAAGTGTAGGCTACACGCGTAAAAATTGAGAAAATCAACAACTTTTTGCAAGTTGATATCGACAGGCGTGAACAAGGTTGTGCGGCCCACTATGAACATTACTGTCAACATGTTGTTACAGCATTGTTCAACTGTAACAACTTAGAAAAACATGGTTGACAACTTGTTCATAGTTGGCCGCACAACATTGTTCACGCCTGTCGATATCAACTTGCAACAACCTGTGCGTTTTTAGCCGTGTAAGTAAGTAACATGGGCGAAATACTTGATGTAAGCGGTCACTGAAAAGCCCCAATGGGGAGTGAGCTGAATAATAATGTAATGTAATGTAATTTCGGTTTTCATCTCGTTTTGACTTCGTCCCGGTCCCATGTAAACGGGCCCTTTCATTTATTTCTAAGCTTCCTGCGTGATACCATATTCTTATCATTTTTGTTCTTTTCAGCTTACAGTCTTAAACATGGGCTACGTAGGTTTAATGGAAAAGTTTGGAAGCGATGAAGTATTTGCAACGCTCTATTTACCTATGACAATAGCTAACATACTGCAACAGTTTAACAACTCCTATGAACAGTTAGGCAACCCTCGACAAACCGTATGGCAAGATCCACTAAAATCCGGATGGACCAACCCTGGATTCGGCGCCTGGATTCAATATGCACATCCTAACTACACAAATAACACAATGAATTTCACAAGTGTAGAAATGAAAGGACTGTATGGCGTTTTGGGCAACACGAGCCTACTGTTTGGTGAAACTGCTAACAAAACAGTGAAAGAGGAGTGCGATAAAAATCCTGCACAAAAGAAGTGTGGTTTTCTACTCCAAGCGCAAGCCGCTGCAATGCTTCAACAGCGTAATCTAAGCACCACAAACACATTTTTATCTCTGTTCGGGTTGATGAGTGCGGCCTTCTGTCCTAATACCACTTATCAGTGTTTTGACAAGTTGAATAGCTTGCTGGAAGCGATCTTCTCATATATAGCACATGTGAACAAGTACACCATGTGGGCTATCTTAGGTGAACAATTCGACATCGTCTCCACGATGCCACAGAAGAACTTAAGTTTGGGCTACACGATCAAGAATGTCATTAACCCGGAGACAGGTGCTCCTACTTTTATACCGGGGGTAGTTCGGATTCATAGTAATAAAAGTGATGCAATCAAAACAGACAAGGAATCCACTTTCTATACGTGCGAGGCTGGAGATGGCAAGAAATTTCAATGGGCAGGTAAATAAACTGACTAACACACAAACAGGCATGGCGACACTCTTTGCGACGTTATATTTTCCACATTTTACAACATTTCCCAACGAAACTTTGGAATTTACTAATTTTGTGTTGCTCTTTGTGTTGCTGTGATGAAATTTTTATCTAAACCAAAATTTAGTCTATAATGCAAATGGTCCATTGTAGACCATTACAACCCAATATACTTTATTGCATACAATGGCATTACAACGCCAATAGATTATAGGTTACAACGTGCGGAACGGATGGCCAGACATCCACGGCAAGAAATCAATGGGGCTTGTATTTTATCGAGTTTCTTCTCGCTCATTGATGAGCAGATTTCCCAACAGGCTATCTCCCAACCTCGCAAGCCAGGGTCTTTGCCGTAGCGCCATGCGGAGGTTACTTTAAGACCTTAAGTAGAGGTCCAACCAAGGACTGAACCCGGGCAAACAATAATCAAATATATAGCTAAAGCTCCTCTTTCTTTGTATTTCAGCGTACGATGGTAAGACTAACACATCTGCAATTCCTAACATGACAGCAGAAGAGTCGGCAGTCCATGGTTACTCGATGATCGTGCCTCGATCAGACACAGCTGATAAACCTTGCACATTCTCACATGAACTACCCTATACTCACATCGAGATGTTTGCCAGTGTTATTGGTATGCGAGTGACGTTACGGTACATGGGCGAAACATCTCTGCATGGTCTGGAACTGAAGAGATTTATCCCGGACAAGGATGCGTTCTTAAAGCATAACGGTGTTCAGCAAGGATACATTGATTTCACCGTGCAAAATAAAGTACCGAGTTTTCTAACTTACGCACACTTGCTGTACACCAATGTCACCGTTCCAGCATCATTTAATCAAACTCCAGATGTGAAAAAGCATGAGAGCACAGTAAGATTTATCTTTTATACAGGGACAACCAAGGCTGGTATAACACACTGTATTCACCATTATCACCAACACCATCAACCTATACTATCATCACCATGTTCAGGAGATTTTTAAGGCTAGTTTTTCATTTTCCGTTTACTCTAGCCACAGAAACTATCACAATCACCACCATAATCTCTCAGAGATTTTTCAAGCTAATTTTTAATTTTCCGTATGTTTCTAACTCCGACTTCAAGTCGATGTATATCACCATATGGAACAAAAGAGTATGCTGCCTGAAGGATCCCTAAATGATGGTGGTGTTGGTTGTGTTGGTGGCGATTATAATGATTATGGTAATTTCTGTGGATAGCAAAATATAGAAAATAAAAGATTATCCTGAATAATCCCTAAATGATGAAGATAGTATTGGTTAGGGTACATGGTAGTGGTTATCATGGTGGTGGTAATTATGGTGATTGTAATAATTTCTGTGGCGAACCAGTGTTAGGTACGGAAAATGAAATATTAGCCTGAACAATT